TATAACAAGTAATTTGATTCCTGACCTTATGCATCTGATCTGATTTCCGAAATTGGAATAGCTTTTCGATGCCCAACCCTCCTACTACATTATTTCATTCTTGCATGCAAAAAGACCTGTATGGTGACTACCAAAGAAAAAGGAAAACTTGAAATCGCATCATATGACCCCTTTAACCCTCATGTTGTGTTCTGGTCGTTTTGACCCAGAGAGGAATTTCATTTAGTCAAAAAATGCTAAATAATTAGACTAAAACGTACTAATTTTCTTCAAAATTATCATGGTTAACGTTTTGGGATTTTTTCCCCCACCATGTTGCACTTGTGATGTTCCCCGTCAAAAATTACCAGCCTACAAATAATTGCTTAGAAATTTCTCGCTATGCTATACTACTACTAAATACTGGACTCAATCTTTTTATCAACCTCTTTTCTGTCTGTTAGCACAGGTTTTGGGTTTCTTTTTTGAAACTGAATTATTCATAGGTCTCATCTACGTTTATGCACCTCAGTTTTGGAGTGAACATTGCCAAAATTATCCACAAATAATGCTTTTTTCACTCACAAATAAACTGAGATCAATGAGGCCTATGACCAAACAGTTAAAAAAAAACAAAAAAAAACAAAACCTGTGCTAATTGAAAGAACACAAGGCAATAAATATTAATCCCAGATTTGATGAGGGATTTACAAGCAGTTTTTAAAAGGCAGGTCATTGACCATGAACACCAAATTCGATAAAGGACTTTTGCATAGAACAAGTGTTAAAAATCTGCAAATCAGGCCATTTTTACAGCTCTAATGCATACCTGCAAGCGTGTACTTGGATGCTGGATCTGAGGGGTGAGAGGAAATGGGTCCATCCCAAAAGACCCAAAGAGACTCCTCATCTGTTGCCTGTGTGCAGCAAACGGATCCCTGTCACAACATAACTTGCAGTTATAGTATACAGTTGTAAAATGTATTTTGAAATAATTTATTTTAAAGCTCAAATGAATTATTCGGTTATCCTCAAACACATGTTTTCATTTTGAAAGTACTAATACTCACATCATGTATGGGCTGTCATCCACATCATTCAAATAACGAAACATTGTTGTTTTTCTTTTTTGGTTGGTTGAACTTGCACCAGTAAATAAACTTCCGTTTCTTTAATCAAAATCCAACACAACAGCAGCTCAGGAGCTCTTAATTGGCCAACCAATCATCAAGTTCCCTTTGCCAGATATGCAAAACAGTCTCAACTGGAGAATTATACAATTCGGCCTACCTAATCACAATACAAACCACCAATTTACCGAGCGAGATGAATAAAACACTCATATAATAAAGCCTCTGCAGAACATTTATCCCTACGCGAAAACTGTCGAATATTCCAGACAGGTGCTAATCCAGAACAGCCTGCGAGCTATTTCAGATTGTTAGCCTAACATAATAACATGCGCGCGGAAATGATTTAAATGATTTGTTTACAACCACAACGGGGTTCGGTGATACAAGTCAATGTGAATTTTGTCCAGCTGGCGAGAAAAACAGCAGCACGCAGAGCAGACGGACCGACGGAAATACCCTCCGCAGATGAGCACAGGAAGACAGTATGACAAAGGAAACAAAACCTTGAAGATCTTGGGCGAAAATCTTGCGCTTCTAAGCGATTCACGCGTTTTTTTCGGAATGCACTACATCAGAGTCGTTTCAGTATCACACGCTATCATTAAAAAGATAAAGTCCAGTGAGGAAGAGGCGCTTTTGATAGGAAAATTACGCGCACTTAGTAAAACAGGCACAAAAGCCAAACGTCAACAGAAAAGAGAGATGGGAGGGGGAGGAAGAGGAGGGGAAGAGCGCAGCGCACATTCCGGTGAAGAAAGATAAAAGTTTAAGCGCTGCTCTCAGAATGGCTGTTTTTGGCTCAGATGCCTTTATATTTTGGTGACCATTTGGTCATTTGAGGGTTGTCTTATTGATTTTACGAGCATTATTAATATGATGCTTAGGCATAAACTCATTTATGTTTTGGAAATGTGAGGAAATAACGAGTTTAATGCTTAATAATTTAATTTATTTATTTATTTTATTAATATTAATTGGACTTTTCTTTTTTTGTCTTTTTCTTTTCTGTCTTTTCTGTGTGTGTGCACGTATTGATGGTTTTGCAATAGGCCTATTGTGTGCAAAATATAAAATAAAGTATCAATACACACACACATACATATATACATAAATACACACACATATAATTTATGGTGTGGTACAAGCACATGCAAAATCAAGTACACTCTACCAAGGCCTACCAAACCACCAACGTGAAGAGTGTATTTCTTTAATGTATTTTACGCTGAATAATGAATTTTAGACAGAAAAAATTAAACAGAAAAATAATAGAGCTTATTGCTTGTCCTTTTGTTGCATCGCTAGATGGCAGTACACAGGACGTGAGCAAAGAATCTCTCATCGACAGAAGTAAAGCCACCTTTTTCACTCGTTCCCAAATTCAGTCACGTGATTGTCCAGTAGATCCTACTGACAAGCTTATTGCATTTTAGTTTTTATTTGTTTTTTGTTTTTTTCAAAAATATACATTTTTGTTGCTCTTCAAATATTTAGCCATAGCGGTTTGTCTGCACAAAATTCAACTTGTTCTCCTTTAACTTGCACCCGTTTGGGGTTATAACACTAAAGTAACTATACAATATGTGGGTTTAGTAGCCATCTAGTGTGTTCATTTAAATTATTAAGATTTTTTTTAATCATATATTTTATTTATTACTTTGTATGCAAAGTAAAATATGAAATTTTACTAGCTTTTATTCTTTCCATTCTTCACTGTTCTAGTTTGTGTATGTGTGTCTTTAGAATATATTCCATTTGGATGTATTCATAAAATATGTTTACAATACAGCCAATGTCAAAAAGCCCTCTTATGTCTGTAACCATAGAGAAAAGCTGTCACTGTGCCCCTAGCGACAGCCTAATAGGAACTGCAACCTGTGTTGGGCGTGTGCGTAGAGTGGGCAGGCTAGATGTCGCAGGAACTACGACTAGACGTTTTTCGCTTTCACGTCAGATTGATACTCTCACACCCGGACGTAACCAACGCCTAGTCGCCGGAGAGGAACGGTAAGTAATTTTCAATCTGTAACATTATTTTATTTGACTTTTAACCTGTCAAACGGTCGTTAAACAGTACACGTTTTAAATCAGGCTTCACTGTTGTGTAATTTTGATTTAGGATTATTTGTGGCCCTCTCAGCAGTGCTAGCGCGTTAGCTTAGCCTCGCAGCATCCTGTCGCCTTCGTTACACAAAACTTTGATTTATTTCACTGCTGACAAATCTCGTCAAGATTTATTTAGTTTTCTGTAATCACCACAAACTACGCATTTCTTCGCCATTTACTATAATATTCAATTAAGTAGATTCATCAGGCGAAGTGTTCAATTTTTTTTTGGTGGGGGAAGAGAACGGAATAAACTTATTCTAATGTAAAATACTACTAGTAGGATGGGTAAAATACGTGTATTGTCATGTTTAGAAAAATCGGCTTTAAATAAACGACAAACAAGCTCATTAGTGTTTTACTTTTAAGGTAACTGGTATTCGTTTGGTTTATCGTCCCTAATTGGACTCCAAATGTAGTAATTACTAAGGATGAACACTTTTTAAATAAGGTCTAATTTCAAAAAAATAAAATCATTCACTAACGGTAATGTAACTGAAAACCAGGCGATATTGTTAGTGCGAGTACGACAAAGTGACAAAGTCGAGTCTTACTCTCAGCAGCGTTAATATGCGGAAGTAAATAAGACAGGACACATTCTTGTAGATGTATTTCTCTATGCCTGCTTTTGTCTCTGAAATCAAATCACATCACTTTATTGGCAATTCTGGTAAATGCGTTCAACCTGCCTCATTGTGTAACAGTGGAAACAGTGAACGCTGGAACTGCTCAAAACACATGATTCCTGAATGGTTCACTCAAAGGTTATTTCTGAATCCCACGAGGGCCAGTACCAGTAATAACGTGATTTTCAATCTCTTTGTCTCTCGCCATATAGATGCAAACCATAAAGTGTGTGGTGGTTGGAGATGGAGCTGTCGGAAAGACCTGCCTCCTCATCTCATACACAACCAACAAATTCCCCTCTGAATATGTTCCCACGGTAACGGAGTAAAGGGTGGTGGGCTCTGGGTCAGAGATTTGGTGGGAGGGGGCACAGTGATCCAATGATTATCAATAACAATGCTAGCTATTGTGTGTGTTGTGTGCTTTGTGCTGTTTAAGACTAGGAACTCTAATGCATGAGTATTTCACAGGATATTTGATTAGATTGATTAGAAACATTATTAGTATTGTATATTTAGTCTTGTCTGAACTAAAATTACATTATGTGTGAATGAGATACATTTGTGTTTTTTTGCAGGTTTTTGATAACTATGCTGTCACAGTGATGATTGGAGGCGAACCGTATACACTGGGGCTTTTTGACACGGCAGGTAATGCAGTCTGGGGCTTTCTTTACACTTGACAAATCTAATTTGATTCTCCACACTGTCATTCTTCTTAAGTATTTATTTTTTTGGTTGGCCAGTATAATCAGTATTTAGTATATCAAATTTGGTTACCATAATAGGGATTTAAATGTCAACATGATGCCAACAGACGTGAGACAATAGCTGTCACTATTGAAAAACTGGAAAAATGGTGCTGAACTTATGGGAAAACAAGTGACAGGCATTTTATGCATCCATTCATTCTGTGTCCAGATCCGCTGACTCATTCACTATTCACTATTTAGTGAATATCACATAGTTCGGTATATAAGGACAAGTGAGATAAAGATACAGCTTTAGACAATACTATGCATATTTTATGATGTTACATATGTGCCATGCTCTGAAGACGCTAAAAACAATTTTATATCCAACCTGCTTGCTCAGACTGAGACTCGTGTAAAATGTTAATAGGATTTCAAATTGCATGTTGACTTACTATATACATACTGATACTACAATCTCAGTTTATAAGTGGTATAATAGGGTGGAAATCACATCTCACCTACACACAATTCCACCATCTTTGTTGATGCACTACCGTTTAAAAGTTTGGGGTTAGTACGTTTTATTTTCTTTAAAGAAATTAATATTTTTATTCAGTAAGCTTGCATGTTTCAAATAAATGCTGTTCTTTTCACCTTGCTATTCAGATAATCCTGAAAAAAAAAATGTATCATGGTGTTCACAAAAATATTAAAAAGCACAACTGTTTTAAACATTAATAATAATAAAAATGTTTTAAGTAAATTTAAATTAAAATATAAAAGTTATTTTAAATGGTAATAATTCACAATATAACTGTTATTACTGTATTTTTGATCAGATAAATGCAACCTTGGTCAGCATAAGAGACTTCTTTTCAAAACCATTTAAATATTTTATCGACACCCAACTTTTAAACATAGTCTACATTAATTTATAATTATCTCTAGCTTTTTTAAGTTAGATAGGATTTCTCTTCAGTCTTAACTGTTGTGTTCATCTCGAATGACTCTCAGAGCTGAAGAGAGGTGGTAATGAACTGCGTCTGTTCTTGTTTTCTCAGGTCAGGAAGACTACGACAGACTTCGGCCTCTCAGCTATCCGCAGACAGACGTCTTCCTTGTTTGCTTCTCTGTTGTTTCTCCTTCCTCCTTTGAGAATGTGAAAGAGAAGGTAGGTGTTCATCAAATGCTTTCTGCTTTCTTGCTGGTCTCACTGTTTGGGACATCAGAACATGAAAGATCCACCTTTCTCCGATCGATCAGCCGGAGATCGGTATCGGCCGATAATCACATTTTATGACTTGATCGGTACTCACTACACTTGGCCGATCTCACGAACCGATCACAATTTGATGACGTCAGCGCATGACGACGTACATGATGGGGACATAAATTATTTGGCGCCGCAGTCATGTCATCGCCGGTGTGGAAATTCTATGACGTTTCGAGAAACAATGAAAAATTTGCTATTTGTCGTGTATGTTTTGCATGATGATATGATGATGGTTCATTTTTAACAGCAGATTCAGTAATGTTAGAGCTGATCTGCGCCTCACTGCACGCGTCTGCGGCGCCACGGGAACTGGAGCTGATCGCAGCCGCTCTAATGCTTGTGTTTATACCGGCCAGCCGAGGCACGTTCCTGAAGCGGCTCTCCGCGCTGCTTGGCTAAAAATAGTCTTTTGTGAGTTGTCACAGACGAAATCGTCTGCCTCATGAAAAAAATGTATTTTAAAAAATGTAGTTAATATTTGCATCATTTATGATTTATTTTATCCACCCGC